ACTTGTATTTATTATCTGCGCACCATTGTTCGTAAAATGTATAAATTGACGGTTTTGACTTCCATAATGGCTCTAAGTAAAATTTTGATGATGACGATCGGCAGTAATGAGATTCGATCCTTGGTAAATCATTTAAAAAACGCTGTATATTTTCTTTCACTTTCTGATATCGAGTAGCTTTTAAAAAATTAAATAAATTTAATCTTTAATAAATTTTTTTCTTGTTGTTTTTCAGTATTCTCTCCCACATCTTTATTTATATTCTTTTCCCGAGCAATTTCCTTCAACCAGTCCAAAACCATGTTATCTATTACGCAATGTGTGCGTAAAAACATTTGCTTGCATACTCTTAAACGATCACCTGCTTTTTTTAAGTAGTATTCTAAAGTCTCGCTTCTCCTTGACACATTATCTTCTTTTCTATTTCTTTGTCTATTAATAGGTTTAGATACAATTAATAATGACACATACACTTTTCTTGTAGACCATGTCATTTCTGACCAAAAATTATCAAAAATATTTTCCCTCTCCGTTTCTGAAAAATCGCAACATTTTAGCACCGAATTCTCACGCAAGGAAGGTTTGCAGTTCCATCGTATCTCCATTTTCCGTCGACCATTTTTCTTCCAAATATTCTTTTCCTTGTTTGCGAAACGACTTTCTTTTACTTTTATTCCATGTTTCGCTGTCTACAAACTGTCTCTTGTTTCTTTTCCTTTTCATCTCTGGTAAGTCAGATTGTTGAGCTGTGTCATTGCTTACATCATCCTGGGGATGGATGGTAGTTACAGGTACATAATTTGGATCCTCATCATCAGCATTCATTTCTTCATCTTCCCGATGTTTACTATTTAATTCAGGCACATAATCCGGATCATCTATTTACACTTCTATCTCTTCTTCAATATTTTTATATGGTAAATGTTCTAAAAGCACGTTATTTTCTAGTCCAGTCTTTTTATTTTCTTCAATATCACATTCTGTACTCGCTAAGGCTTTGCAAACTTTATTTATTTCTAAGGTTATCTCGTCAGTCACTTATTCCTATATTGTCATATTGTTGTGTAAAACTAAAACTAGATTCGATGGCACAAAGAGAATCAGTAATTTCTGGAATGTCTAATAATAACAAGCTTTTATCGTCTTGTATTGGTGTCGGATTGCACCAACTAATATCGTTCGTAATATTGTCTATTTGTTGATTATAAAGTAACATGATACTAGTTTCAATACTTTGTTCATTATCACAGAAAGGTGTTACAGGGTTACAATTGTGCATTATAGGACATGAATGATTGTTTCTAGAAACTGATTCAGGATCAGATTCATTTAAAATTTCATTCAATTGTACAATATTGTTTTGATTGTTCATTGCATTGTGTGTGACTTGGTTATTCGGCAGCCTAAAATTTGCCGAAATCTGCCTATAATTTTTTTTTATCTTTGANATGTTTCAGCGAAAGAATACACAAAATACGCAAATGATCTTAGAATAATTAACGGCATACTTACATATGGAGATCGAATAGTCATTCCCAAAGAGTCCAGAAAATATTGCCTTAAAGCTATCCACGAAGGGCATTTTGGCATAAATAAATGCTTAGCGAGAGCAAAAGAAACTATTTGGTGGCCAGGAATAAGACAACAAATATTGGACAAAATAGAAACCTGCGAAATTTGCTTGAAGAACAAGATACCTCCAACGGAACCAATGATTCCGAACAAAGTGCCACATAGACCATGGGAAAGATTGGGGACGGATATAGCTACTTACAAAAATACGAACTACTTAATAGTACAGGACTATTATTCTAAATACCCTGAAATCCGAAAACTAGATAATTTACGTAGCGAAACTGTCATAGAACAGCTAAAGGATATAATGTCTCACCATGGAATTCCAATAGAATTAAGATCAGACAACGGAAAACAATTTGTCAGTTACGAATTTAAACAATTCGCCAAAGATTATGGTTTCAAAAGTATAACCAGCAGTCCAGAATATCAGCAGGCAAATGGACAGGCAGAAAGCGCTGTAAAGATTTTGAAAAAGATTTTTCGCAAGAATAAAGACACGCATCTTGCGCTGTTAATTTACAGAAATACTCCTTTAAAATGTGGGTTCTCTCCGGCTCAATTGCTTTTTGGCAGGAGGTTAAGAGAGAAAGTACCAACGCTTAAATCAAAATTGGATCCCAAAGTACCAAATCATAATAAACTGAGGAAGGAATTTGAAGCCGAGAGGGAAAAACAGAAAGAACAATATGATCAAAGACACAGAGTAAGAACAAACACACATTTGGAAATCGGTGAAAGAGTGTGGATAGTGAACATGTAAAGAGAGGGAATAGTGAAGGAGGCGACAACAGAACCAAGATCATACATAGTAGAGACGGAAAAGGAGGATATTCGGAGAAACAGAAAACATTTACAGTCACTACCAACACAGGACAGAGACAAGGATCATGCAAATGTGGAGGAGACTAAAACAGAAAATGACAAACATATAACAAACGAAGATACAATAGTCGCGGAGAAAACTAACAATGAAACAGAAGTACCAAGACGAAGTGAACGTACAATAAAAGTGCCTCCAAGATTAAGAGACTATATTAGATTTTAAGTTTGAATGTTATACTTAGAAAGGGGGATGTTGGGTGATTGTTAGACAACCTGTAATACGGGAGTTGTAGAATAAAGACAGTTAACCTCGAGACTCGGAGCGTACAACAATGTGGTTGAAATTATGCCACCACTTACAGAAACACCATATATTTTATATAGGGTGCCCATTATTTATGGAATATAGTATATATCTCGGTAAATGTTGACTTTATAAAAAAACATTTTATACAAAAGTTGTTTAATATTTTATTTGCCATAATAAGACAGCATTCAATTGTTTATATTTCAGAAAACAAATGAGCAATGAATAACACTTGAATTTTTTTAAATGGNTTTTCCCGAGCAATTTCCTTCAACCAGTCCAAAACCATGTTCTCTTTTACGCAATGTGTGCGTAAAAACATTTGCTTGCATACTCTTAAACGATCACCTGCTTTTTTTAAGTAGTATTCTAAAGTCTCGCTTCTCCTTGACACATTATCCTCTTTTCTATTTCTTTGTCTATTAATAGGCTTAGATACAATTAATAATGACACATACACTTTTCTTGTAGACCATGTCATTTCTGACCAAAAATTATCAAAAATATTTTCCCTGTCCGTTTCTGAAAAATCGCAACATTTTAGCACCGAATTCTCACGCAAGGAAGGTTTGCAGTTGCACCACTCTTGCATTTTTCGCTTTTCCATTTTCCGTCGACCATTTTTCTTCCTAAATATTCTTTTCCTTGTTCGCGAAACGACTTTCTTTTACTTTCATTCCATGTTTCGCTGTCTACAAACTGTCTCCTGTTTCTTTTCCTTTTCATCTCTGGTAAGTCAGATTGTTGAGCTGTGTCATTGCTTACATCATCCTGGGGATGGATGGTAGTTACAGGTATATAATTTGGGTCCTCATCATCAGCATTCATTTCTTCATCTTCCTCATGTTTACTATTTAATTCAGGCACATAATCCGGATCATCTATTTGCACTTCTATCTCTTCTTCAATATTTTTATATGGTAAATGTTCTAAAAGCACATTATTTTCTAGTCCAGTCTTTTTATTTTCTTCAATATCACATTCTGTACTTGCTAAGGCTTTGCAAACTTTATTTATTTCTAAGGTTATCTCGTCAGTCTTTCCATCACTTATTCCTATATTGTCATATTGTTGTGTAAAACTAAAACTAGATTCGATGGCACAAAGGGAATCTGTAATTTCTGGAATGTCTAATAATAACAAGCTTTTATCGTCTTGTATTGGTGTCGATTGCACAAACTAATATCGTTCGTAATATTGTCTATTTGTTGATTATAAGGTAACATGATACTAGTTTCAATACTCTGTTCATTATCACAGAAAGGTGTTACAGGGTTACAATTGTGCATTATAGGACATGAATGATTGTTTTTAGAAACTGATTCAGGATCAGATTCATTCCATTTAAAATTTCATTCAATTGTACAATATTGTTTTGATTGTTCATTGCATTGTGTGTGACTTGGTTATTCGGCAGCCTAAAATTTGCCGAAATCTGCCTATAATTTTTTTTTATCTTTGACATACTCAATTATGTTTGCTGAAATGAAATTAAAAACTTATTATAAATTATTTTATTATGCGAAACCTCTCGCAAATCCCACAAGTCCAACTGTGTTAATATATAACATAATATAGAATAACTTACCTTTAGCAAAAGTTGCAAATAAAGTCACACTGATACCGGATGTTTACATATAATTTGTTTTTCAACAGAACCCTCTGTTCACTGCATGCTGGATTACTCTGCAATGAGGACTTACGGCTATTACGTGTCGGGTTCAACGAGCATGGACTTGCGGGGTTTACTAAATTAACGAAAAAGTAATTTTTACAGGAATATGTAATTTTTTCAGTCAATAGATTATTTTTTCCTCAACAGATGCTACTAAAATGTCAATTTACACCGAAAGTGGACTTACGGGTTTTGCAGATTAGGCCGACGATATCAGTCTCATACCTCATTCAGCTTAGGCAACCACACAATTACCAATCTTCCACACATCCCGAAAGAAACTTTCCCTCAGACACTCTCAATCAACCATACCCATTTTCTCAAAATCTCTACACAACTTGCGCTCAGCAGAATTGTGTCCTGAGAATGCCGCTTGTAAAAATATTCGGGAGCGGTATGTAATGCGGCACGTCGCATTCGAATACCGCGCTATGTTTGGATACACCCTTAGATGAAACGATTTAAAAATAACTTTTCAATATTTATTTCTATTTCGTTGACACTTCTCGCGTCATCATGATTATAAGACCATAAATAATCCCCTTAAAGCGATGGATATCTTTTGAGCATGTGCAGTAGACCAGAAAGATAATAGTAGTAATATTTAATATTTTACAGATTTGATATAGAAAACCTACAAATAAATTCAATCATCCCTATTTATGTGCAAGAAGATTCCTTTATGGCTAATGAGAACTTTTCTATGTCATTGAAACCATCAAAAATTACAACAAGGGTGAGTAATTATGATTTAAGACAACTTTTTTTTAAAATTAATCATGAAATGCACTTGATTAATTAGAAATCCTCAAATATTGATGGTAAAGTGGAGTCATCCGAATCAGTCGACACTGATATAGGTTAATATTTATTTTATTATTTTTCTTAAATCTTAATTTTAATTTTCTATCGTTTATTAGAGAAAAGTTTAATAAATAGTATTTGGAGCGGATTTTCGGAAACAATTTCTTTTCTAATACGCCAAGATTTAGGAGCGTCCATCGTAGAATATTCAGTTACTGAATTATTTGCTGATGAACCTGAGGAAATGATGTAAGAATCAAAACTTTTTTATTTAACAATTTCATCTTTTACTTTATACATACTTTTTAGAGAATTTTCAAATAAACGCATTGCAGTGGCAAGTAAAGTAATGAACGCAATTCTTCAGAAGGCAGTTGTGCCAACAGAAGCAATGGTTATTAAACTTCCCGAGTTAAATCTTTCTTATAAATCAACAAGTACATTAAAAATAACAATGGTTTGTTTGCAAGATCCGGAATTGTTGAATCTAGGAAGTATTCAACCACTTGGAACTTATTGTATTACTGAAGAAAATGAGAGAGCCATTTCTGTGAGTGGTGGGATTAATATAAGAAATTTAACGATTAATTTTACCAATTGCTGGGCTTCGTGTGATGGCATTGTAACCACCGGAAACTGCAAATACGTTGTGTATAGAACCAAATTGCTTTTAAAAATATTATTTGAAAAGAAAGATAAGAAGCTTTGTGCGAAATTAGATAAGGTGCAGTTATGTTGGATTAGGTAAATCTTTTTCTTTTATTTCTTTTTCTTTACTTTGAATTAAATTAAATCTTTTAGGGACACAGAATGTGATTTTAATGATTTACTCAGTGTTAATGACATCCAAGATGAATTAACGTCTTATATCGAAGCTTTTCTCCTTGGGGAACTCCAACCTTTAATAACCAGTTATCTTAAGGAACATTTCGAGGGGATTCTTAAAAAGTATAAAGTTAATGAAGATATTAAAGATATAGTTTAAATAAGTCATTATCATTTTTGTTTTTTATGTTTTAAGTGCACTAATAAATATATATTTGTTAAGTGAATTCTTTGATTTATTGATTAATTTTTGCTGACCTAAAATATCGCAGCAGATAAAGAGAATATAAATCTGAAGTTTGGAAATAGACAAAACTGCTAACATCGACACATGTAGAAATATTATCTATGAGGACGCAGAAGTCCTAAGATTTGAAAAAAAACCAATCGTTTTAAAAGAGTTTATTTATTTACTAAATACAAACTTGACTTCCTCCACACCCATTTTTTTAAACAGCACGCGATTCAATAAAAAGATGTCCTTAATACAAGAAATATCCACTGATTGCTAAAGAGATTGTAATCATAAAGAATCAAATAAACCATGTACTTATTTACAGAAGACGAGCATCTAGCATTGTAGATCTTAAGACAGGCAGAAATGCATACTGTGACTGTGATGATATGATATGAAACTATAACTGAAATGAGCGACGCAGGAAAGGAAATATAAAGTACAAACAAAAATTGAGTGGTTTGATAACGAATGCACAGTAGCAATTAACATTAGGAACAAAGTGTATACAAAAAATATATCGCGAAAAAAACCCTAGAAACAAAAGAAATGTTTAAGAGGAGTCTCGCAAAAAAGATAAAATATGTAGATAGAACAAGAGAAAATATTAAAACGATCAGGTACTTCAAATGAAACAAAACAGTAAAGGAAACAATAATAGGGATGCGTACAAATGTCTTAAGAGGCCTACCTAGCTGGCGAAAAATTCGAAACGAGATTCCCTCGTGAACACGCTTAATGCGGCAACACCGCTCCATGTGTACTCGATCGGGCTGGCGCGCCAGGCCGATGGCGACTAGGACTGTCCGATTGTCGGGTAATTCCCCGACAATCAGCGACGTTGATTTTATTCTTAGTTGAATGCATTTGAATACGAGTCGGGGCCGCTTTTTGGAACATAGCTGTTATTGCTAGTATTTCATTATTATCAATTGTTAGTTAAAATTATATATTTTCACGAAAAGGGATGTTGGTGGATGCCGATCTTATCAGATTCCTCATTATAAAATTGCACAGTATACCAAATTTTATCTGTATATGACAAATCATTGAAATTATTACAGATAATCTATACCTTAGCCATTTATTGATTTATACAGGGTGATTTATCAGCTCACCATCAAACTTTGACATATGATAGCTAATCCAATTACAAAAAAAAATGTTAATGAACATATGTCCTATTTTAATTAATTACGAAATTATAACACTTTAAAGTTTTCATTTTTATATCATAATTAACTGCTACATTATTTTTAAAACACATAAATATTACAAATATTGTTCAAAATAGACTCCTTCTGAAGAAGGAATACATGCTTCACAATGACGAATTAAAGAGTTCTTCAGCCGAATTAAAATGTCTGGTTGATTTCTTGTTCCAGTAGCAGCCATTTGTATTCTGTTTAATGACTGTTTTCGTGTGTTAATTTCCACTTGATACACAATTTGTATCATATGACCCAATAAGTAGAAATCCAATGGATTAAGGTCGGGGGATCTAGGTGGCCAAGCAAATGGACCATTACCAATCCACTTGTTTGGAAAATATTGATTTAACCACTCGACAACTATTCTTCCGCGATGAGGGGGGCATCATCGTGCTGGTACCACATATTTTGAATTACATACATTAAGAGGTATATCTTCAAGTAAATCAAAAAGTGTGTTGTTCAAAAAAATCTGTAGTTTACAGCGTTCAAACGTCCATCAAGTACATGCAAACCTAGTAAATTGTTGTTAAATAATCCACCCCAAACGTTGATGCTGAAACGTTGTTGAAATTTCCTTGGTCTAATCGCATGCAGATTTTGTAATGCCCAGATATGTTCATTATGGTAATTATTTATACCATCTCGTGTAAAACATGATTCATCTGTCCAGCGATCATTTGAAATGAAGTCATTATTTTGGGCATGTTACTACAATAACCATTCACAAAATGCTAACCGTTGCTGATTATCTCCTGGCTGTAGAGCTTGAACGTTCTGTTTACGATACGGATGAAGGACTTGTCGATTCAATACGCGCCATGCAAAATGTTGACTTACATGTATGTTGTGTGCTATTCTTCGAGTGCTGATGGAAGGATTATCAATGACAGCATTAATTACAGCTTCTTCGTCCGCTACATTAACTACATGCGGTCGAATAGGATTACCTGTTTCTCAAAGTCTTCTGAAAGAATCGCTAAAAACTGAATAATATGGCAAATGACGCTGTGGAAATCTTTCTTGATATTCTGATACTGATTGTCGACCGTTTCAATTGCAAAAAAAATACACGAAAATTATATCAGCATACTCTTCAGTGCTATAAGCGTACATTTTGAGTTTCTTCTTGTATGTAATAATTAAACCTTACACCAAACTGATATATTACAATGACAACTTTGTTTTTGTTGAATGTTTGATTTTACTGACTATTAATAAATTCGCTGCAGAAAACTTTAAAGTGTTATAATTTCGTAAATAATTGAAATAGGATATATGTTCATTAACATTTTTTTTTTGGTAATTGGATTAGCTATCATATGTCAAAGTTTGATGGTGAGCTAATAAATCAACCTGTATTTAAAGATTAAAAATGTTTAGACTAGCTGTCATAATTTTTGCTCTAGCAGTATATGTGGTTGAAATTATGCCACCACTTACAGAAACACCATATATTTTATATAGGGTGCCCATTATTTATGGAATATAGTATATATCTCGGTAAATGTTGACTTTATAAAAAAACATTTTATACAAAAGTTGTTTAATATTTTATTTGCCATAATAAGACAGCATTCAATTGTTTATATTTCAGAAAACAAATGAGCAATGAATAACACTTGAATTTTTTTAAATGGCAATGTACCCTTTCGTTAGGCTCATTTGATAGAGATTGTTTTTCTCTTTACGATGATGTAAAATTTTAGTACCCTTATATCAGAAAATGTTTGAAAAAATTTAAAAATTGTTATTAAGAAAATTTTTAGTTTTTTATGAGTTAATATATTTTTTTATTATTTATATTGTATTATTTATTTTAAAATATACCTTTGGTGCTTCTTTATATTTTTATTTTGTATTTATTTTAATAATTAATCTAATAGTAGATGATCAGATAATTGTGCAAATATTCTCATTATTAAAAATGTATTGCCACATTTAGACATTGTTTTGCATTCTACGTAAATTAAATGTTTAAATTTAAATTAATGATATACAAATTTTTTGATCTATCCGAAAATATTAATCGCTTCAGGTTTGTTTTTCTTGGGAGACACTACGCCGACGTCTCGGTTACTGAGAATACCGAGCTCCACTATGTCTCGGGCAATGTTTGGGACGGAGCAATATTTGCGATGTTGCCGTATTTATACTCCACAAGCAATCAAAACGGACTACACGTTTTAAACCCATTTTATTTAAATTTGCTGCATTTAATAAAAAAATTGAACTCTTTAAATATGATTTACTTTACATTCCACTACCTCGTGATGCATTCCGTTTTTAAAAATTTTTTAAAACGTGATTTTAGAAACGTTACGCGACATTTTTTGAAAAAACTAAATGCATCACTAAAAACTATATAAAAAAATAGAAATTTTGATGTAACAAACATATAAAAATTTTAAACGATGGCTGAATAAAATGGTATTCGTTGTTTTTGCTAATAGGTTATCCTCTTAAGCAAATGAGACAAGGTCATAGACCACGTACGAAAGTGTGGTCTAAGATAATGAAAATGAGATAACTTGCAATCTGGAAGACATCAAGATACATTACATTTAAATTTAATTACAGAGCTGTTTGGTCCTTGGATGGGAACATCTTTGTGAACAAGAATGGCATTAAATTTAAAATTAAGTCGCTCGCTGATCGGGATAAATTAGGGTGCTCTGAGTTGATTGAAGAAAAGAAAAAAAATAAAATAAATAAATGAATAAACTTCTTAAATTTAGCTGTATGTGGTTACGGCGGAGTGGAGACTAGGTATTTCGTGCCTCTCTTTGTTCTTTATTTTGTTTTTTCTTTTTGTTAATTTTGTCTGTATATAGAATAACTTTAGTTTATTATTTGTATGCATTTGATACGCATTGCACATCTGAATGTCAGATCGCTTTTGCCTAAATTAGTAGATGTTAAAACTATATTATGTGATAATCATTTTGATGTTTTGGTTTTGACCGAAACGTGGTTGAATCCAAATACTGAGTACGATTTTGGATTTGATGGTTATAGAATTGTCAGATTTGATAGGACTGATCGTGGTGGGGGTGTTGCGATAGACTTCCGTGATTACTTTGACTATAAACTTATTGCGGTTGGTGGTGATATTGAGCAGGTCTGGCTTCAATTTTTTTTTCCTAAGACCTCTATTTTTGTCGGTAGGATATACAGACCACCTCACATTAATTGTAGAGACTTTTTGAGTAATGTTGAGGAAGTATACACTACTTGTGTTGCTGAAACCGAAAATATTTTTTGTTTGGGTGACCTGAACATCGATCTTCTGAACGTGGATGGTTCATTTATTAACCTGTTTCATGAATTCTTGGATGTATGCTCGGCTGTGCAACTAATAGGTGATCCGACTCGTGTGACCAATGCTGTTATGACATTGTTGGATGTCATCGTCACATCTTGCTGTCGTTTGGTGAGTGTTAGTGGTGTATTGCCGTGTGATTTGTTTGATCATGACTTGATTTTTTGCGAAATAGATTTGAAAGTACCTAAGATTCCTCCTCGGTTATTAACCGTGCGTATGCTGCGTGGTGTTGATGAGTGTGCTTTCAATAGCGATCTGCAGTCGGTGACTTTTCGCAAAATATTTTTCATGGATAACATTAATTGTAAAGTTCAGAACTTTAATAACTTATTGCAGGCTTTATTTGACAGACATGCCCCTTTAACCATAAGGAGGTTTACCAAAATGGTCGTACCTTGGTTAACACCAAATATTAAATTGCTTATGAACGAACGTGATAGGGCAAAGAATAAATAC